CTTGAGTTCATTGTCTAGTGGTTATTGTCTTTCAAAAGTTTAGAGATTATTGTATTTACAGTTCTGGGGCTAAAAATACAAAGCATGTTGACATTCTTTCAGATAGCCATTAGTGGTTTTCTCTGTTTGGGTAGAACTAATTTGATCACTTTCAAATTAGTAGGCCTTATACTAAAGAACTGTTCCATATGGAAGAAAGTAACTTTTATTTGTCTAGCTGCAATGTTCTTTCATAAAGTTGATTAAGGACAACTGAGTGACTAGTTAAATTGCTAAAATATTGGGTCATTGGAAAAGTTGTGATGCATTTTTGCATAGACAAAGATGTCATGATTTTTCCAAAAACCCAATAAATATGACCATAAAGAATAGCAAAACTGTTATTTTAAAACAGATTCCATTTTAAGTTTTGTAGTAATATAAGAAATAACACTGCAGTCCATATAAACTAACCATGTAAAAGCTGTAAGGAAATAATGAGTAATTCCACATTTGCCAGTTAATGGTGTGATACGAACAAACATTTGTCAAAATAAAAAGGAGGTCCATATGCATATCGACTCTTTATCATAAGTATCATTAGAAACCACAGAACCCCAAATGAACTCTTGAGGGTAAGGCTCTTAAAATAAAGAATAACATTTTAAGTGCATAGCTATTACAAACTCATTTGATATTCATTTTAATTGCAATGACTATAATGAATATACTTTGCATTCAAACAGATGTCATGAGTACTACTACAGAAGTTCCAATATAATTCAGTCTTAGTTAAGAATGAGGAAATGGATGTTTAAAATTGAATGTTACCATGAAGGAGAAAAGACACACACACAACAATTACAGCAAACATTAGCACCTCAAAAAAAGCAAATTAAAGATTTTTATTAAATTGTGTTCTTTTTCATTCTGACATATACGAAATACAATAATACAGGGAACTTGTTATGTCAACCCCTCCTTTTCCTTGCATCAGCTGTTCTATAGTTTAGCCTAGAAAACAGAAATTGGGAATGTGCAAAATGACACAAGGGTAGGCTTATATTCACTATAATATATGCCACAAATTAAAGACAGTGTTTCTCAATCTATGGTTCACAGACTTATCCACAGATGTTTGTTAAAAGCAAATATTGATGGGCCTCAACCAAGTCCTATCAAACCCTGGGAGTAAAGGTCATGGACTCAACATTTTGACAAGCAATCAAAAAATTCTGATGTATACTTAGGATTAAAAACAACTGCCTGATGATTGGATGAGGTATGTATGTATGTGTGTATTTTAATTTGACCAGAGAGGGACAGAGCAAGAGAGAGTGAGAGAGTGAGAGAGTGAGAAAGAAGCTGCCAGGTCTGGGTCTCAAATCAGGGTCAGTCATGTGTAAGTCCAGCACTCTTAACCACCATGCCACCTGCTGGCCCCCAGATGAGCTATTATTTAAAGCTATATATTATTCATTTCATTCAAATAAGTAAATATTTTAAGTACATATCCTATGTGAATAAAATATTTGATACATGTAGGGTGTCTAAAAAACAAGAAGCATATGATAAACTTATTCTCAAAGTACAACCTAATAGCTGCAATAATAATCCACAAACACCTGGAAATATGATGTCTGAATATTTGGAAACTAAAAGAAAACAGTGTCTCTTTTGTACAGAATACAAACCACTCTTAATTTCAGTTCAGCAGTTCATCCCCTAAAAGGGTGCCTGGAGGTTGAAGAGAAGTATGTATGTTCATCTTGTTATTATTGGGTTATTGGAAAGTCATGATTTTTTTTTCTGTTTTTCTATGCAAAAATGCATCATGACTTTTCCGACAACACAAAAGAAACTGTGACTAAAATATTGTTTAAGAACAAGTTCACCCTGTTTGTTCCAATGTATGTGTGCGTGCATGTGTGTTTGTCTTTTGCTTTTGTTTTGCTTTGTTTTTGCTATAGGGCATGCACACTTGTTGGAGAGAGACAGACGGGGAAGGAGTGAGAAATCACTCCTGAAGGGGTGGCCACGCCATGAGCCCTTCTCCTCCATCTTCCTCTTGGGGTTTTAGGCATGCATGCACATGCACCTGGAGTAATTTTCAACCTGCTAGGTCTGGGACTTAAACTATGGAATCGGTCATGTGGAATCCAGCCACACGACCTTCTGTCCCTGTCCTGATGTTCTCTACATCCTAAAATTTAAAGAGCAGAGCAGTAAGCGTGTGAGTCTTATTGATGACTGAAGGGAAGACACAAAGGGTATCAGCAAGAAAATCAAAGACACTGAATTTGAAGACCAGGAGCACTGACAGTAGACATTATCACATACAACCTTATTCTCCTTATTCTCTAAACTGTAAGTCGAACTTATTTGAAAAAAATTATATTGTGTTTTTTAACCACTAAAGCAAAACTCAAAAAGTGAAAATTGACTTTGAAAACTTTGCACTTTAATAGAAGAAAGGAAGAAAGTAAAGCTGAAGATACTGAGTTTTATGTGGTCAGCAATTTGTCCCTACCCCCAACCCAAGACTGAAGACTAATTAACTGAAATCTGTGCAAAGAGCTTCAGTAAGGTGCACTCACTCATGAAACAGTGAAGACAAGTTGGTGAGATTTACTAATTGATCCTAGCACCCTCAATTTTCTATGGACCTTGTCTGAGATTCCTAGTCCTGGACTCAGGATCCAGTGCAAAAATAAACAACTACAAGTGAAGGTGAATAGAATAAAACAGTTGAGCTCTATGACCCTTAAAACTCTCCATTGCTCACAAAAGTGTTTCTCAAAGCATGGGCTCTAGACTAGGGGTATCAGCAGCACTTGGGAATTTCCTATCTTAATCTGCTCAGGCTGTTGTAACAAGATACCATAGACTTGTTGTGGCTTAAACAACAGACTTCTATTTCTCATAGTTGTGGAGACTGGGAAGTGCAAGACTGAGGTGCTGGCAATTCAGTTTCTTGTGAGGGCTCTCTTCTTGGCTTGTATGTAGCCAGATTCTTGCTGTGTCAAAAGAGCGAAAGAGAGATCTCCTTTTCTCTGTATAAGGCCACCAATCATATTGGATTAAGAACTTGCCATATGGCCACATTTAACCTTAATTTACTTCTTAAAAACCCTATGTCCAAATACAGTCACATGACAGGGAAGGGCTTCCACATATGAATGTGTGTGTGGGGGGGGGTGGGAGAGGGCACACAATTCAGCTCGTAATACTCATTATAAATGCAAATATCAGACCTATTGAATCAGAAAACAGGACCCAGCAATTAAGTTTCATTAATTTCTCCAGGTTCTTCTAATACACATAAGACCAAGAAACACCAGCCTGCAGGATAAAGCCTCAACTCTTCAGCACAGCACTTACTTTCCCCCACAGTTTTCTCGGCCTCACTTCTCAATCTATTTCTTATTGTTCTTTGGCACGCATTCTCTCCTTTTGCCAAACTACCTCTCGCCAGGACCTGAAGGATTATTCATATTCATGTCCTGTCTTCCAGACTGTTACCTTCACTGTCACCAACCTAGAACTGTCTTTCTGCCTTTTAATGAAGCATTACTTCAACATCCCAGCCACAATGATCTTTTCCTGCAAACAATGGAAGCACTGATTATCTGAACCAATCATTTTCACATTTCACACATTTTGCTTCCTTTGCATCTGTCTATACTTTTAATCCAAGTCTTGAGACATAGAAAACTCTCAGATCTTCACAACCTTGTATACTGTTTTGCTTATAACTCTGAAAGCTACTCCCCGCCTCACATGCAATTCAATACTGTTTCAGGGGTATCAGATAGCCCACTGGTCTCCAACATAGCACCATGTCACTTCCAAAGTTGCTTAATATATATTTTTTTAATCAGTTTAGTACTTGTTACTTATTAATAGTATGACCTTAAGTATATCAGAGTATACCTTAAGTATACCGTGTAAATCTTAGCATATTTCTTCTTTAACTTCTCATAATCATATTAAAAAGGGAATTATAATCTCTGATAGAAAAAGACCATAAATGGACACTTAATATAAAGAGATCTATTGTTCAACATGGTGACTATAGCTATTAACACTGTACTAGGGTCTTAAAAATTACTAAGAAAGTCGATTTCAAGCATTGTTACCGCAAAAAAATGAGATAACTCATGTTAATTAACTTAATTTAGCCATTATACAATGTATACACACTTTAAAACATGTAAATGAGAAATATATACAATTTTGGTCATTTAATATAAACATTTTTTTTTAAAGAGTCCAAGTAACTCTCCCAACGTGCCAAACCTGGAAAGTGCCAAGGCTAAAAATTATGAACCCATGTTTCTTTGCCTCAAAGCACAAGTTAGCCTATAAACCCACAGATGTAGCTTCTGTCGACATATTGAATTTACTGTCAAGGCCGCCAGAGTGTATGGTCCCACTTGTATACTGTCTTGTCCAGTATAGTCTTTGGAATATCTTTATTCTCTACACTTCTGATGCAATCTTGGGCACACGTGCACATGTATGCATGTGCATGCGTGCACACACACATACACTCTTATGTCTGAAAAGGCATTATAGAAAATTTAAAACTATTAGATGACTATAGACAACCAAGACCTCCAAACCTGATTGCTGGTCTATATGCCATTTGCCTGCAGACACTGGAGTGCTTTCATCTACAGCAGAGACACTTGAAGGACTGAAGGAGCATTATTTAGAAGGAGCTCTGCTAAACTCTTGCCCAAAGCAACTACTGAAAATTAAGCCCTAGTGGTACCCATCCCCTGCACAAATACGCACATAAAGCTGAAAAATCTGTAAGTTCCAAACAATGGATTTTTTATCGCACTTTGCTTCATTCCCCATGAAACAAGTCAAGTGATTATATTTTACTCGTTTATAGCCGCCTGCACATTGAAGCATAGACGATAAGACAACAAGTCACACCTGTTGGATTGTTTCAGTCATTCCGAGCACTACCAAAGCTAGTAATTGAAAGTAACATTCCGTTTTGAGCCTACCTGGGGTGTTCAACAGCCTCGACATCTTGCAGAAATAGGAGACGTACTGCTCGCAGTACTCGGCGCTGCTGGTGATGGCGCTGATCTGGTCCATGGCGGCGCTGTACACGAGCTGCGTCACCGAGTGCTTTCCGGGGTTGTAGCCTACCACCGTCGTCTGCATCTGCAAGTCGTGAGACACGATGGTCCACACTTTGTCCTCTGCCGGGAGAAGAAGGGGCCATGTCAATGGGTCATTAGTGTGCAAATGGTCTTCCAATGTCAGAAAATACTTGAGCTACACTCTTGTGTTTTCACTGAACTGGTGGAGAACAGAATTAAGGCAAGCAGTTCTTAAAGAAACCCCTGCCCTTTTTCATACCCAAGTTCAGCGTATAAGGACAAAGAGGAAAGTCATATTTTTATTTTAATAAGTGCAAAATACCACCTAAAAACAAAACAGTTCGTGTATCTGGTTGGTGCTCCAACGTCCACAGCTCAAAAAGCAAAGCCCATTAGATCACAACTTCCTGAGTTTGTAACCCTTCATTCTTCAGTAGAAACATATTTGCACTTCCCTAAATGAAAAATGAAGCACGGATTTCACCAGGCTTGTAGATGGAACTTCAGATTTCCAGAAAATATTGGGGAGAGAAGGACACACTAAATGGCACCAGTGGAAAATGATTCATGAAATCTACACTGTGGGAAATTCTGTAGATCAACTGAATTTGTTCAACTGATAAATTGCAAAGAAGAAAAGAAGGAAGGAAGAGGCAAGAATGAGAGACAGAGCACACTGTAAATTAAAAGGGACTTCCTGGACTTCCTCCTCATGGAGCCTTATTTCAGTAAACAAGGTCTGCATTCTTCCAGTTCTCGGTACAAAAGCTTTGGACTCACCATGAATCAACTCTTCATGCAACCTGCCAATGGATCTCGCTTGCTCTCTTCAATATATATTGGGAAGTTGAGCACTGTCCCCGTCCACACACAAACACATACACACTGCCTCAGGCCCCATTAACCTCTCCCGTCTCCTCCCCCCTTCTTACCATCCCCTACTTCCCACCCAGTATGACACACCTGGCTCAACATGGCAGCGAGTGCGAGCCTTTCTGAATATAAGGGAGCTTCAAAAAGTTGATAAATGGAATTAAAATATAAGTTTATTTTGGTGGAAAAAATTTTTGAAATCCATGCATAGGCTTTACATAGTATGCATTTTCCATGAAATTCCTTCCCCTGTCCCCACTGCCTCCCCTAGTAGGTCGGTTTCTGATTCTCTGCTGAAAGCTCTCCCTTGGCAATGGGTCCTATCCAGAGTTTAAAAAAAAAAAAAATGTCCTTGGGACCAGCAGTTGGTGTAATGGCTATGTTGCTGGACTCCCATGTAGTTGATTGTGGTTCGGGTCCTGGACCTGGTGGCTTAAATTCACGCTGGGCGCATGTGCGTGTGTGCCCAAGATCCTAGGAGGAGAAGGGATTGCAGCATGGCTATCCCCTCTGGGGGGTGAGTTCTTGCTTTCTGTCTGTCTCTCTCTGTCTTTCTGACGAGCACATGCGTCCTATAGCAAAAATCTCTAAAAAAAAAAGTCCTTAGCATAGCTGAAGTCCATCTAGGATGGGCTCCTCCCTGCCTCTGTTCCCTCCTGTTCCTTGTAGATAAATAAAGTATATTTATCTACATGGGTTAATTCCAAAACCTGAATATTGAGTGGAAAATGCAAGCAAGAGAGGCATTTACTGTATGATGACATTTTTGTTAAGTTTAAGAACTGACTTATCAATAAGATAGTCTACTGTTTGAGAAAGAATAGGATTGGGTACATAAGTAGGCTTTCACTTTATAGAGGGTGTTATATTTCTTCTTCTTCTTTTTTTTTTTTTTTTAGAGGTTTTTGCCTTAGGGGGTGTTCCCCCGCTGGAGAGAGACTGAGGGACAGTGAGAAGGAAAGTGAGAAATCATCCCCCAGGGGGATGGCCATGCCACAATCCTTTCTCCTCCAGTCTTCTCCCGGGATCTTGGGCACACATGCATATGCGCCCTGCTGGAGTTTCAAGTCTTGGGTCCTGAATCCGGAACTCAAACCATGGTTGCCAATGTGGGAATCCAGCAAAGTAAACCACTATACCATCTGCTGGCCTCGTGTTATATCTCGTAGTCTTAGTGTTGAATATGAACCAGAAATATTTCTTATTGAGACAAATGAGATGTACCTTATTTCAGATAAACTTTAGGTGAACATCCAGATTTAAAAAAATAATTAGCAAATATTGGTCATTTTACCAAGGTTACATGTATTTTACTGAATAATTTACAAAATAATTTCTTAGTTATCACTTCTAGTTATGTAAAGTATTAACTGATTTATACAAAATTGCTTATCAAACATTCAGGTAGAAAGACCAGCATAATGTTAGATTACAATAGCTTTTAAATTATTTATATAAAGCTTTATTTGATAGCTCCATCAGCCTTTTAGATACATTAATTTTAAAGGTCATAAATTTATAGATCATTATTTCGCTTGGAAGATTTTCTCTGGTCCACCAGGTGTTATAGTGGTTAGGGTGCTGGACTCCTATGTGGCCGACCATGGTTTGAGTGCCGGACCCAGTGGCTTAAAACTCATGCTGGATGCATGTGTTGTATGCCGAAAATCCCTAGAGGAGAATGGAAGAAAACAGATTGCAGTGTGGCCATTCCCGCTGGGGGAAGGGGATATTTCTCACTTTCTGTCTGTCTGTCTGCCTCTCTCTCTCCAGTGAGTGCACACATCCTACAGAAAAAAAAAATCTCTCTCTCAAGAAAAAGGTTTCCTCAGTAATTGTGATCCTGCTAACATGATCTACATGATTAGAAATTTGCTGTTAAGGTTTTTACCCCTGCAGATGTGTATCATATGAGCATTACACTATCTCTGTAAGCCTAGATGCTAATATTATAAATGGCGTTTCTCCTTGGCAGGCTGTGGTTGTTGGAGGCATCCCATAATTGCTGGTCATGTATGCAGCTCGGGTGATAGAAACAGCTTTAATCGCGTGGAGAGGAATAAGGTATGCAAAGCAGATGGCGCACTGCAGGATACACCGAGGAAATGAGCTCAAAGTGCAGATGACGTTCTGGAGGTGGTGGAAAAGGTTGATTATTTTCAGGCTCACAATTCCAGCCCCAAGAGGGGTGACAAATCAAGTGCCATGAACAAGTATAAATGATGGCGGATCATTCTCACCCACCTGAAGAACCATTTGGAGCTTATGTGCGTCTTTTTTTCTAGGAAAACATTAGCCATTTTCTGGGAAGAAGAGTATTTGTTAATGTTTTTGTTCTGTTGTAGAAATGTTAAAATTCTTTTACAATATAGCAGGAATTATTGACTACATTTATCTCAATACTTAGACAAGCTAATCTTCCCTTTCCTTTTTCTCTCACACTGGGAAGAGATGTAGCACATGTGTATTTGATAGTCAAGAGTTCATCTGTGTGACAAGTTTTCTACACTGCGTAGCAAGAAAATGTTACTCTTTCATTCTTGTTGCTTATAAAAGTAATTAGATGCTGATCTAAATTCAAACTTGCAGACTAAATAAATGATCTTGACAGATTATTCCATGAACCTCTAAAGATAATACTCCCAGTATCTAAAAATACATACTTTAAAATTACTGCATACACTTGGTTAAAAAAAAAATGTACTCTATAGGGCTGGTTGGTGACATAGAAGTAAAATGTGAGGGTCTACAAAGTTGTTTCATGTAGAAAGGTTTCAGGTTCTCACCCAGAATCTCACTGAGTACATGGCATGTACATGCCCATTATCCAGGGTTGGTGAGGCTGGGCGTGAATCAAGGAGTTAAGATCCTATTTGGGATGTTGTCTGTCTGTCTGTCTGTCTCTGTTTCTCCATTTTTCACTCATGGGATAAAAAGAAATCTAAGATTTAAAAAAAATAATAATTTCAGGGACCAGAAGTTGGTGTAATGGCTATGTCGCTAGACTCCCATGTTGTCGACATTTAGGAAGTCTTTAAAGGTGAAACAAATAATGTTTTAAATTATAGAATCCTAAAACAGAGAATAGTGAGATTTTATGTTAAAGAATGGTTTATAGGAGCCAGCAGGTGGCACATGGTTAAAGCACGGGACTCCCACGTGGCTGACTGAGGTTCGAGACTGGGACCCAACTGCTTAAAAACCATACAGTATGCACTCACACATGGTCACACATTCCAAGAGGAGAATGGAGGAGAAAGGATTGTTGCATGGCCATCTCCTTTGGAGGATGATTTCTCGCTTTCCCTCTCTCTGGTGAGCTCATGTGCCCTATGGCAAAAACTTAAGAATGGTTCAAAAACCAAAAAGAAAAATGTTTTTTATTTCACATAGTTTAGCATGTTGCTTTAACTTTCATGTTATATCACTAAACGGATCTGAAATATGATTTACTATTGAAAAAGAAATGATAAAATCATGTAGAATTTGATATTTCACATACAATATCTATAAGCTACTAAACTGAAAGGATTTTAAAGAGAGAAACATAAAAACAAGCCTAAGGCACGTGGGGGCAGGCGGGGACACAGTGGTAATATAAGCGGACCCCTACAGGAATGGTCCTGGGTTTGTGTCCCAGAACCTCCCTGGGCTGGCTGGGACTGAGGACTACAGTGTGAAGACTCCGCTTTGGGTGTCTATCCCTCCAACTCTCTTTCTCTCATGGAAGAAATAACTGAACACGCCTTAAAATACATATTACAACTATGTCTAAGACACAATGTGCTTTTTCAAACCATCACCATTTCCTCTCCGGGCTGTACAGTCGGATAAGGATTACCCTGTGGCACGTGTGTACACACTCAGTCTTCTCCCACGGTAAGCAGAGTCATAAGTATATGCACTTTCATTTATTGAATAACTTGTTGTATTCCAGGCATGGTTCTAGACCCTGAGCACGTGAGGATGAATAACCTATGTGTCAAGCCACCGAAGACCTACTGGGAAAAAAGGCTTATAATATAGATAATTGTAGTACAACCTTAAAAAAGCAAATGTTCATTTTCAGATAATCGTCAGAGTAATCCAAGTAATAAACGTTAGCCTGTCAGTCACGAATCCAACTACGACCGAGGCCAGTTGTTTACTTTAGTGGCCTCGGTTGCACTTTACATACATTTTTGTCGTTGGGGAATTGTATTTTCAGCTAGCAGTTAGTTTAAAAT